AATATGTAACTTAAAAATTCAAACATATATGCCTAGATCATGGAATATACAGTAAAAATATAAGGAGATCTTGAAAAGTATTCATAGTGTGCTTATATGTATTCGTCAAGCTTATTAAAGTGAGTGGTGATTATTACTTTATTCACTTTTTGTATATGAAATATGTAAATATTTTGAATGGAATGTTACCCCTGGTCATAAGGCTGTTTCTAGTGCTTAAATCTTGCTTACTTTTGTATAAATTATAGGAACACTTTGATAATTACATTATATATTTAATAAGTGTTAAAAAGGAAATGAAGGAAAATACTTACTTAGAGCAATGTTTCTCAACTTTAGCCTGCATCAGAATCACCTGTTGGACTTCCTAAAACACAGCCCGCTGGGCCCTGTCTTTACAGTGATTCCGTAGGGCTAGGGTGAGGCCCAAGAATTTACATTTCTAACAGCTTTTCAGGTGATGCTGCTGCTGTTCCAGTCCAGGTACTACACTTTGAGAACCATACCCTCAGGGGTTTTTGTTGTATATATGACAGTTTTGTAAATTTGCCAAGAGTGAGGAACTATCCTGCTTATTAGCATTCTCTTCCACCTAACATGCTCATCCCCACGGGTCATGACAGTTTCACCAGTGTGGGCAAAGGAGCGTCAGTATCATTCTGAGACTGCCTTATAAACCTGACAAATGCTGTTCCCCTTACAAAGATGCCCAGGAGATGGTTTATTGCAGTGGCAGGGTGTCTGAGGAGCTGTTTTAAAGTACCCTTACAAACTGCCTCCTTAGAACTAATCACTGGAATATGAGTATGAGTTGCCACTGAGAGTATTTCTCTTTCCTTCGTACCTTCTCAAAACCCATTACATAAAGTGGCAAATGCCTCCCTGTCTGTTGGAGGTTTATAATCTTTGTCAAAGTAGTTTGTGGATTGATTTCTCTATACAGTAACTTTTTTATAGTTCTAGAGATGCTCTTTTATATGGGTTTGTTTATTCTCATTTTTTTTCATTTCTTTGTCACTTCGTTTATCAGGTTACTAATTATAATCATAAGCATTTACTTAAAGACTCACTATTTTAAGAGGTAGTCTTGTCAATAGCTTGCTTATGGAGCCCTTTGGCAGTAAGACATTAACACTGCTAACTTCTTTATTCCCCCCCCCCCCTTTTTCTAAGGCAGGAGCCACTTGATTGTTAACTGAGTTTTAAAGTAATTTTAAATTAGTAGAAAATTATTGTTTTTAATGAAAATTCATATTACATCATGATACCCTTTAAATCACATGGATTTCATTCAGTCTTAGTGTAGCTATAATTACCTTTTTTCCTGGGCAAAACTAGCCTAGAATTATCCTATAATATATAATGAGTGTTTCTGAAACCTTTTCTCTTCTTCATCAGCTACATTTTGAGGTAAAAAGCAATTTTTTAAAAAATTTTCTAAAATAAGTAGGTCACAATAACTTAATATTGCCAATAAAAATATTTAAAACTATATGTAATTTTATATACCATATATATATACATTATACCCATGTCCTGTAGCTCCTTTCCATATATATATATATATAAATGCCATAATATTAAATTAATTAAATAATAATTTAAAACCACCAGTATGAACTCAACCTTTTAAAAACAAACCATCCAAAACATGAAGCCAAAACTATAATTTTTATCAGTGATTCTTAATACAAATTTCATGGCAGTATTTAACTGGATAACCATGATATTTGGAAATGTTTTCATTTAATAGCTAAAGACATACTGTTGGGAAAACAGCTGTTCTTCCTGCCACACTAAAAACAGTTACAATGATACAAAGAAAAATATTATAAAAAATTAAATTCATTTCTTGTCAGCAAATTCTGGTGGAAGATGCTAACAGTTCAAAGAAATGACAGAGGGAGAGTGTCTTGATTGAAACTAAAGATATTTGTAATAAGCTTCAGATGATTCCTTTTTGCTAAATCAGTTTCAATTATGGAAGTTCACAAAGAACTTATTTTCTCTGAGCCAAAAGAAATATGTTCTAGAGAAGACATATTTCATTAATGTTATTTCTTTATAATACAGGATGTTTTATGGAAACATAAAGTATTACTCCTAACTAAATAGCTACTTTGATTATAATTTACAAAGGATGTAGGATGACTGATAGATGTGAAATTTCTTTACTTAGTCATTCAAGAGAAAGTTATTACAATAATGAAGTTGAAAGCATAAGTGCACAGAATACCTCAGGATGTTACTCTTAATATTATACAAATAAAACCTTTTAATAAGATTCTGCAAAAGTTTGTAATGAGAAAAGGAATAACTCTGACAGTATTTTGTATCATCAAGAAGCTACCAGTCATCTTGTAGCTTAGTCCTTTTAAAAATCAAAAAACTATAAAATTTGAAGATACTTCTTGGTTTTCTTTTACCAGAAAAGCAAAACAAAATTATGCTGTGTAGTTAGTGGCCACCTTGCTACCTAACACTTAGTTTTAAAAAACAAAAATAAGTATTTTTTTATCTGTCTCCTAAAGGTAAATGGTTGTTTATAATTCTGAGTTTAAAAAAATCTTATTTTTTGATACTTGTACATGAATAGAACATTTTTGAAATGATTGTGAACTTTACATGGGTAGGCTTATTGCTTTTGCTCCCAAGTTATCCAGTCTTTAGGACAGTGGCACATGGTCAGCTCTTGATAAGTGCTTGAATTAATCTGTAACCAAAAATGATTTAGGTATATCACCTATAAAAACTTAAGTGTGACCCCACCGCACATAAAAACTTAATTCAAAATGGATCTAAGATCCACAGATAAGGGTAAAACCATAAAGCTCTCTAAAGAAAACATAGAGGTAAATCTTCATGATCTTGAATTTGACAACATATGCTTAGATATGGCACCAAACTCACAGGCAGCAAAACCAAACAGTAGACAAGTTTGACCTCATCACAACTAAAAACTTTTGTGCATCCAAGGACATTATCAAGAAAGTAGAAAGAAAAACTACAGGATGGAAGAAAACCTTTTCACATCATGTATGTGATAAGTCCTAATATCTAAAATGTATATAAAATTCCAAAGAAACAAAGAGACAACTGGATTTTAAAAGGGGCAAAGAACCTGAATAAACATTTCTCCAAAGAAGATATAAAGATAACTAATGAGCACATTAAAAAACGCTCAGTATCGTTTGTCATTCAGTTCAGTCACTCAGTCGTGTCTGACTCTTTGCAACCCCATGGACTGCAGCACGCCAGGCCTCCCTGTCCATCACCAACTCCCACAGTTTACCCAAACTCATGTTCATTGAGTCGGTGATGCCATCCAACCATCTCATCCTCTGTCATCCCCTTCTCCTCCCACTTCAATCTTTCCCAGCATCAGGGTCTTTTCAGATGAGTCAGTTCTTCGCATCAGGTGGCCAAAGTATTGGAGTTTCAGCATCAGTGCTTCCAATGAACACACTGGATTCCAGTGAATCTAGGTTGGTCATAACTTTTCTTCCAAGAAATACGCGTCTTTTAATTTCATGGCTGCAATCACCATCTGCAGTGATTTTGAAGCCCAAGAAAATAAAGTCTGCCACTGTTTCTGTTGTTTCCCCATCTATTTGCCATGAAGTGATGGAACTGGATGCCATGATCTTAGTTTTCTGAATGCTGAGCTTTAAGCCAACTTTTTCACTCTCCTCTTTCACTTTCATCAAGAGGCTCTTTAGTTCTTCTTCACTTGAGTGATGCAAAATCAAAGCTACAGTGTGAGATACCATTTTATACTACTACCTTGTATGTAATTAAGTAAAAAAACAAGAAATAACAAGTGTTGCTGAGGATGTAAAGAAACTGGAGCTTTAGGATTGCTGGTGAGAGTATGAAATGATGCAGCTGCTATGGGAAACAGTTTGGTGGTTACTCAAAAGGTTAAACAAGGAATTACTGTATAGCCAACAATTTAACTCCTAGTCATATACCCAAAGAAATTAAAAGTGGGGAGTCAAAGAGATGTTTTTAGGCCAGTGTTTGTTTCAGCATTACAGTAGCCAAAAGGTAGAAACAACCTAATTATGTATCAACAGATGAATGGATAAACAAAATATTGTAAATACATAGAATGGAATATTATTCAGCCATAAAAAGGAGAGTTAGTTCTAATAGATGCTGTAACATGGAATACTATTCAGCCATAAAAAGGAGAGTTAGTTCTAATAGATGCTGTAACATGGATGAACCTAGAAGACAGTATGCTAAATGAAATAAGCCAGGGCCTGGAGGGAGAAAAGAATGGGTAGTTATTACTTAGAGAATTTCTGTTTAGGGTGATGAGAAAGTTTTTTGGAAATAAATAGTGGAGTTGGTTGTACAACATCGTGAATGTGATTAATGCCATTGAATTGTGCATTTTATAATGGCCAAAATGACAAACTATTTTATTTATCTTTTATGTGTATCCAACCTTGGGAATAGGATTTTCAGTGTGTTTTAAAATATAATAAAAAAGAAATTAATTGGATTTGGGGGCATATTTGTTAAGCACATTGAATTGCAACTCTGCACGAAGTTGTGAGAATAGTTGATGGAATTCTAAACTGTAGCCAACAATGCATGTCTTCAATTTGGACTTCTGGTCAGGTTTTAATGGCTGTTATCAATATATATATAATTGAGAGTATCACTGTATTGTTACGATTTTTATGAAGGGTTAAGTATATTCCATCATCTTTCTCTTACTAAAGTCAAAAATTTTAATAAGTCATAAAAGTACAAAAATTTAGAACTTTTCAGCTGTTTAATTTTATTTTACATTTTTATGTCTAACCATAAGTAATACGATTTATATAGTATATGTAATTGTTTATAAGTATGTATGTATTGCTCAAGAATTTTTACTGATAAGAGTACACAATTTTAAAATGTTTGGAATCTGTCCATTAGGATATTGTCATTTAAAAACCATTTTGTGAATAGCATATCTTTAAAGTTGTATTTTTTCTGTGTTTTAGGCTGCTGGTCTTGGGCGTATGAAGCCAAACACACTTGTCCTTGGATTTAAGAAAGATTGGTTGCAAGCAGACATGAGGGATGTAGATATGTATATAAACTTATTTCAGTAAGTATCCTTCTAATTCAGTAATTTAGTTGATTGAGAAAGTACTGATTTTGAAAGCTTGCACTGGTTTTTGAAGTTTGTTCTTACATAGTCTCTTCTAGTAAAAGGATAAGAATGAAAATAATCACTTGGAAATTATTTCCACTTCCTTTTTAAAATGCACTTAATATGTTTGCTCTTCTACACCTTTGAGTTTACTGTTCACTTTTCAGTGGTATTGCCAATGAAGTTTATAAGATAGCTTAGTTTTGATTTACATCAATTTACAGGTTGTCTAATGAGTTCTTATCCTTTTGTTACTTTGTCTTTCTGATACTACTCTAGCCATGTTGTTATTAATTTTTGCCTATGTATCTGTTTACTATATTACAAATATGTTTTGAAACTGAATTATTTAATAAAAAGAATAAAATTTTTTATTTTGTCAGATTTTTTTTCCATTTATTTTTATTAGTTGGAGGCTAATTACAATATTGTAGTGGTTTTTGTCATACATTGACATGAATCAGCCATGGATTTACATGTATTCCCCATCCCGATCCCCCCTCCCACCTCCCTCTCCACCCAATTCCTGTGGGTCTTCCCAGTGCACCAGCCCTGAGCACTTGTCTCATGCATCCAACCTGGGCTGGTGATCTGTTTCACTATAGATAATATACATGTTTCGATGCTGTTCTCTTGAAACATCCCACCCTCGCCTTCTCCCACAGAGTCCAGAAGTCTGTTCTGTACATCTGTGTCTCTTTTTCTGTTTTGCATATAGGGTTATCATTACCATCTTTCTAAATTCCATATATATGTGTTAGTATACTGTAATGGTCTTTATCTTTCTGGCTTACTTCACTCTGTATAATGGGCTCCAGTTTCATCCATCTCATTAGAACTGATTCAAATGAATTCTTTTTAATGGCTGAGTAATATTCCATGGTGTATATGTACCACAGCTTCCTTATCCATTTGTCTGCTGATGGGCATCTAGGTTGCTTCCATGTCCTGGCTATTATAAACAGTGCTACGATGAACATTGGGGTGCACATGTCTCTTAAAAGTACTTTCTTTTTCTATAATAGTATTCCTAGTATTTATTTAGCAAATCTGTTTGTCTTGTCCACATGAGCATAAGGATTCCCTCTCCCTACATCATAGTTGATTGAAGAGTAGCTGCTTCTTGTCATAGTTGCTGATGAAATAGAACAGTTCACTGTTTCTTCATAAAAATTTTCATTTTAAAGAAAAATTTATATCTGGCAAAATAACTCTTTAAGACCAGATTCACATCCTATTTCCCTGTGAATTTTTGTCTGTTTATCTTTAACTGGAGCTGTTTCCTTTCTCAGAGCTCCTATTGTGTCTGTTGATAGAACCATATAATTATTTGCCTGTGTCACATATGATATTTTTGTTTTTGTAGCTGCCTTGAAACATTTTTGTGGAAGTACCCAGATCTTATACTTTATTTTTATAAATCTCTTTGTACTGATTATTAAAACATGCTGTAGATAAGATTTCCCAAGTAACTGTTAAGTGGTTTTAGTAAAATTCAAGCTCTGCTGGTTTGTCAGAGGTTGTGACTGCTCTTTGGGTTTGTTACTTGTTTATAAACAGCATTTCATTCTCCCTTCCTTATCCTGTGGTCTGTACTTTGTGTACATAGGTATCAGGGAAAGAAGGACAGTATGAAAGAAATAATCCATCTCATGTGGATTGAGCCAGGGAGTATGCTTTTTTTCTTTGAAGTGTAAGACCAGTGAGATGGAGTAGTTATCCTGGAAGACAGAAAAAGGGACATTTTTGCAAATAATCATTCATTATTTGCTGTGTTTGTAATAATGGGAGCACTGAATGTTCAAGGAGTCTTATCTGACACTGATCTTACAGGAACTGAAGTGAATTTTTGCTCTGAAAGTCAGATATTATATGTCAGGCAGCAGTTTAAAAACAGGTCCAATGTTGCCGTCTGGTTCTGGAACTATAGAAGCTGATGGCTGTTTGAAAGCAGTGATACTGTTCACTCTTTTATCTTGAGACACTTATGTTCTGACTGTGATTTGAAATACCTGGAACAGTTGAGGTATACTTTATTTATTTTTACTATGTATGTATTAACAGTACGGAGGGTGTGAAACTGCAAATCAATTTCTAGAGCTTAAAGAAATTATATAGATTATAGAAATTTCTATATGTTATAGCAAAAACATTCAGCTATTTTAATTTGAAGTAAACTTAGAGCTGTATTCCTTGAATTTTCTTAAAGGAAATTGATTTTGGTTCAATTACTTTATTAAGTATTTTAAAAAATACTTGCAGTTATTTCTTTTCTAATAATTAATTAGATCTTTGACAGTAAAGCTGAGAATGTCTATTAATTTTTTCTCCAGTGAATCTCTTTTGACCTTGTTTAAAATTGAACCAAGGAGAAATGAGGTCAAAATTGTCTCCCTGTGATTTAAAACAACAATGACAAGAGACCTTTTACAATGACATATTTATCAATAGGAGCAAAAATTTGATCATTTTATTAGTTTTCTTTTTGTTATGTCTAGCTATATAGGTTACCATATCATTTTTATATGCATATTATAAATATTGGTTACTTGTGTAATTAAAGATAATAACTAGAGAAAAGCCAGCTGCCATTGGACTTCCCTCATAGTTCAGTTGGTAAAGAACCCACCTGCAATACAGAGACCCCGGTTCAATTCCTGGGTCGAGAAGATGCCCTGGAGAATGAATAGGCTACCCACTCCAGTATTATTGGGCTTCCCTTGTGGCTCAGCTGGTAAAGAATCCCCCTGCAATGTGGGAGACCTGGGTTCGATCCCTGCGTTGGGAAGATCCCCTGGAGAAGGGAAAGGCTACCCACTCCAGTATTCTGGCCTGGAGAATTCCATGGACTATGTAGTCCATGGGGTCACAAAGAGTCGGACACAACTGAATGAATTTCACTTTCACTCCAGGGAAAAATCAGTTTTGCAATTAGAAATTTTTTCAGTAGCTTTAACAGCTTAGGTCTACATGATTTATGATGTTAACAAAGTTTTCAGAATTTAAGTCTGGTTTTAGAGTTGTCTTCTTGAGGTTTTAATGTATTTTACCTATATATAAGATGCTCCTGTTTTTTTTTTTTTAAAATTAAAAGGGCATATCAATACATGTATGCAAATGCATATATAATCTTAGGACCACTTTTAAACCAGTTTTGTAAAATATTTTAAATTACCTGAAAAATACCCTTCTCCTTTCATAAGTGATAAGGGATCCCTTCATACTATATAACCTGGTCTCATTCGCAGAACCTGTCTTCTTTGCCTTCACATATTTCTCTTGGCTTTAAATGTATAAACCTAAATTATATATGATGGGATTACTGAAAGGTTTTTTTTTCCCTGTAATTTTAGTTTGTTTCTGATAGATTAAACTATAGTTACTGCTTTAGACCACTACTGTAGGTAAAATGTCAATACTATAAAGAGCTATACTTAAGTAGATTTTAGAGGTATTACACAAAAAGGGGATGGGAAATGGTATAGGTTTTGAAAGTAACATATGATATCACCATAATTTTCAAAGCATATTTGAAAAATCAGATATTTAAACCTGAAAGTAATTTTAGAGATTGTCAACTATTGCCTTCATTTTATAGAGAAGCAGACTGAAATTTTTGTGATTTAAAAAATTGCTATTTTTTTCATGTTACAGTGATGCTTTTGATATACAATATGGAGTAGTAGTTATCCGCCTACAAGAAGGTCTGGATATATCTCATCTTCAAGGACAAGGTAAATCTTGTTTGAGATAAGATATATGTATATCTTAATGTATACTTAAGATATATTCTTAAGTATATCTTAAGAATAGAAATTACTTTGTTAGAAAAACATCCTTCAGTACTTTTAATATTTACCATCTAATCTGTGTCATATACTTATTGTATGTCATTTAAAGATCTGTTTGGCACCACCAGAGTTTGTATTTTCTCTTTGTACCAATCTGGATAAAAGCTAGTAATTATTAATAGAATACAATTCAAATTGTAAGTTTAAGAGAAACAAATGTTAGCTATGGTTGTAGTTCGGCCAGATTTATAAAAATACATGATAAATAAAATAATCAGAGGAAAACATTTTAGACATTTTCATGTTTATGAAAAGTATACTTTGTATACAGAGGCATATTATTAATGAAAGACTCTTTCTTCAGAGAAGACCCTATAAATATTTTTTAAACTTTCTCATTTTGAAATAATTGTAGATTCACAAAAATATGTGCACCCTTCATCCACTTTCCCCTAATAGTAACATCTTATACTCCATTTTATCTCCAGTTCAACATCAAAACCAGGATATTGACATTGGGACAATTTGCATACCTTACTCAGATTTCACCACTTTTATATACACGTTTGTGCACACAAGCACATGTGTAGTTCTGGTTTCACTTGTCACGTTTGTTTCATGTAAGATACAGAGCTGTTCCATCACCACAAAGATCTCTCTTGTACAACTGCTTTACACCTTCTATCATATTCTTTCCCTAGTCTTTAACCCCTGACACCCTAATCTCCTCTCAAGCTATATAATTTTTCAAGCATTAAAAATTTTTTTCATTAAACTTAAAACCTGTTAAAGTATACTTAGCATTTTTACCAACTTTATAAAAATTATGGAAAATTCTATACCCTCTAATGCTTTCCTGGGTAGTTTAAAAAATACTATAAGCTTAAGAAAATTTGCATACCTAATATTTACCCTTATCAATTAATTAACGAGCTCATCAAAATTAGCTAAGCCTAAATAGCTGAGAGCCATGTAATGAACTTTTGTCTTCTGTTTATGTATTTAAACTGTTTTAATCCTCCCACTCCCCCCTCCATTTTAAGGGTATTGTGCAGTTCTGAAAGGAATGCTTTGAGGTCTTTATCCATGTAACACAAAAGTATGGCCTGCTGAAAATGCATTTTCTTACTCTGGAGAAGGCCTTGCAAAATACTATTTTCATTCTCTTTTGCTCTCACAGTAATTTTGATTTAGGATACCTGTTAACTCTGCATAATTATTACTAGTGTTCCCTTTCACTCTCAAAAATATCAGTTTGGCTAATAAATTATATATTCAAGTGTTAATAATCATTATGAGGATTGTTTTGAAACCCTTGTTATTCATCATTAAGACTTGGAAGCAGGAATTTGCTTTAGCACAGGGCTTAAGAGCACAAGCTGTGGAGTCAGATATGCTTTAATAATTTCCAGCCTCTTCTCTTAGTAGTTTTGTAGCCAGGCCAAATTTGCTGACTTCTGAGCCTCAGTTTTCTCATCTCTATTGATAGGATTATTGTGAAGATTAAATAGGAGATACTGACTGATACCCTCTTAGCACAGTGCCGGCACCTAGGCTTATATACTTCCTGTTTTTATTTCTCTTAATGCATACATATCAGTGATGAGGACTATGGATAGAGGATCAATTTCATATCATGTTTGTCTTTATGATAAATATTTTATCATGGAAGCTAAATGTTTGCTAACCCCTTCCTGAAAAGCAGAAAATGAAAAAAGAACTTTAAAAATAAAGAGATAGCATGTTTACCATAGGCTAAGGAAAAAACTCTATTCCTTAGTTGTAGTTCTACAGTCATGGGTATAATTTTTGACTGTTGTCTATCATCTTATATGTATATCAACATTTCTCACATTCTACATTTTTTTACACTTGTAAATGACTTTGAAATTAGAGTTGATTCACATTTTATACATCATTCTTTTGTCTACCATATTATGTTCTGTAAAACTCACTCATTACTGATTTCTCATCACCTAATTAAAATGTCTGACAGTTGTGGCTGAATATAATTTAGTTGAATGGTCATTTCAAAATGGGTTATCACATTCATTTATATAAGAAATAATTTATTATGAACTCATCATTATCTCATAATAAACTGTGCCTAACATTGTCATTAAATTGATGTTACACTGTGATGCCCTCTTTGATTGAAAGATTTAGAAAACATTTTGAATACTTTTATGTCTACAGAAGAATTACTGTCATCGCAAGAGAAATCTCCTGGAGTAAAGGATGTGGTACTAAGTGTGGAGTATAGTAAAAAATCAGATTTAGATACTTCTAAACCATCCAGTGAGAAATCCATTACACATAAAGGTAATTTTTATTAAACAAGAAATTTTATTAATGGTTTAATTTTAGAAGAAATGGTTTTTATTATATGGAATGTCTCACAAAGTAACTATTTTTCAAATATGTACTTTTCATTTCTACTTGCTCAGGTGAAAGTTACGCCTTTCAAAAATGGCTCCAAATAATTAATTATTTTTAAGGCATTGAGTAGCTCATAGAATAGAAACCATGCAAGTTAATTAAGTACTAATATGCTCTTAAATGTTTTTGTTTATACTTAATTTTACTTTGAAGCATAGGTTAAAGCTGAGTTTGGAAAGAAACTTGGTAGTTTTGGAGTAATGTGTATACAGTATATGATAACACTGAAAGGAATGAGGCTTATAAGATTAGTTTATCTGATTTTTTTGGTTAATCAAGATATTTTAATACCAGAGGTTTTGTTTATGTACTGAGATACCCAGAATATTTATACATCTATTGTACCTAGTATTGTTCAGGTAAAACAGTGTAATAAAAAATCAGTTTAATCTCCTCCCAAGAAACAAGCTATTTATGGTTAGTTGCTGAACTCTCTGAGTCATAACTATAGACATAAATACCCCTGGTGGCTAAGCCAGGGTTTAAGCCACCAAAAAACCTTCCAAACCTCCTGAGACTTCAGGATAATTTCATCCATAAATCTCTGTCATGTCTATGAGAATGAAAAAGGAATGACTTCCAAATCTTACTCTCCCACCCTCACTCTCCTACCTCTGTTCAGTCTAGTATCTCCATCTGTCCTACTCCCAGCTGACATGCAACAAGAAAAATCTGCACTGTAAATCATCAAACCATATCATACTTTTGATTCCTATGAAATAATTACCATTCTTTTTCTGAAATTGATTACCATGGAAATTTGATAACCTGACTCTGAAATCTCTTCTAGATCATTTAGAAGCATTAATGCTGCTTTTTCTTTCCTCCTCATTTGTTTGCTTAGAGTAGTGATAGTTGATAGTTCAGTTGTGACCCATTTTCTGTATCAGTTCTTTGCTGGCTTTTTTTTTTTTCTGTTTCACCTCAAAATTCTATAAACTGATTCTGCTAACTCTTAAACGTTCCTGCATTTATTTTTAGTTTATGGTATACATTCTTTCATTTTCTCTTACTTTTTTGTTGTTGTTCCCCTTTTCTCTTGCCTCAAAACAGATCTTTTCTTTATGGGAATCTGTTAGGAATTCATAGGTAAAGCTATGACAGGAGAAGTAATATTTATCAGTCATCTACTGTTCTTTCACTCTGTAGTAGATGTTATCCTTACATTAGCTCGCCAATGTGTGTCATAATCTTATGAAGTCATTATTTTTATAGAGTAGGGAACTAGGTCAGCTCATCTTTTTCTTTTAAAAATGTAAATGCCTTTAAAATTAGTTTAAATCACTTTTAAGTGTCAGGATTTTCTTCACATTTCTGAGCTTCTTGAATACAGAATGTCCATAGTTATTTTTTTGTTACTGTTAAAGATAGATAATATCAAACATATGCTTTATAAGAACAGTATATTTAATACTATAAAATTAGATGTAATAATTGAAATGTTTCTTATTCCATAACAGGCATAAAAATTAGCATTCAAAAATAGCATACATTTTATTTTGTTAGCCTTCTATTTAGCTAATTATTTTCAGAATTATATAGAAGATGTAGAAAAGTTTATATAGAAAGCCTGCAGAATTATAAACATTCTGTTATTGTTATTATATTTTGTATGTCTATCTTATTGAGGCCTGCAGTATTCAGAGGGACAAAAAGAGTACCCTTTGAATACAGGTTTTATGATAGGCACTGAGCTCAGTGCATTAATGCTTGCAATATAACAACCTTAAGAGGTAGGTATTGTTCAACCTTTTAACAAATGAGGAAAGTGAGGCGTTAAGTAATTACTTCAAGGTCACACCACTAGAAAAAGGTTTAGAGGTAATCTTGGAATACTGGGAGTCTGACTCAAGAACCCGTCACTGTAGTGTACTCTTCTTTCCTGTCCAAGTTGGGAATTTTATGTGCCTTAAACAAATAGTACAGCTTATATTAAGAAAAAAGTTTAGGTTAAGAAAAATATTAATCCCAGGAAATATTTATAGATATATAAATATAAATGGACTGGTATATGCTACATATATGCATATACACACACACATATATGTATATACAAATTTATGTATTTGAAAAATCACTCCTGTATAACCTGGCATTTTATATAAACCAAAAGACTCTTGTCTTTGATCAAATTCCTTAATATTTCAAGTGGTAATTAATTTTTACAAAAACCAAATATCTGTGCTTCTAAAATTACTTGTCAGCCATTTGCAAATGATGCAGTGGCATGTTTGACTGCAACATCAATTTTTTAATATCATGTTTCTACTCTATAAGCCATAGCAACTGATTTCAAGTTTCCCAGTTTAAAAGTTTAAGAAAATTCTAAAGTTTTTGCCAGTTTTACAGGAATAAAATTTAGGGGCGAGTGTTACTCAGTAGCCCTATTGGAAAATCTAACATATGCTTGCTTTTTCAATCCTGAACACTCAGTGTAGAAAATATCTTCAGTCTTAATTATTTTTCACACTGTTTCTTCATACTGTGTTTGCTTATAAATGTGTTCTAGTTACATTTTTCATTATTTAATTAATAAAAAGGCAATTAACTTATATTTTGTGTTTCTTAAACATAATCTAGATGAGGAAGAGGATGGCAAGACTCCAACTCAACCACTGTTGAAAAAAGGCAGGCATTTTTCATCATTTTATTTTAATCTCTTTTCTCATACTGTTAATTCTTTAACTCCAATTTTATTATTTTCTTTCTTTACCTTGGTTTTTATTTTCATGGTGAGGTGATGTTACAGTTATTTATTAAATGCAGATTAGAAAAATAATGACTGGTCCAAATAAAGCATTAAATCATCCCAGGAAAAGGTGATATATCAAAAACAAATTCTTTTAAATCATAGTAGCATTTCAGGAATATTCAAATCCTGAAAGTCAGTATTTTAATTTTATAATTTAAACTGCATGGTTTAGATGATAAGTAGAGACACTGAAATAGGTTTATTTACAGTGTCACTTGCATTCTTTACCATCAGTTGTACTCAGCCAAGTCCTTAATTTTGATACTAATATATTTCTCATTTCAAAAATTACAATATTTCTCACAGTCCTGCTGCGTTTGGGAGATACAGTCATGTCAACGTACATGAATTTTATGAGAAGGAGATAGAGGTGAGAGTTATGGAGCAGTGTGGTTTGGTAGCCATATTATTTCATCATGCAAAGTCATTCGTCATGTTTGCATACATCATGGCAGCATGAAACGTGAATGATAAGACATTCTTCAGAAGTGATCAGATTTCTTTCTGTGGATTTATGCTTTCAAAATTTGGTATAGGGATTTCATTATAGTCATTTGCTTGCTCACAGTTAGTGCTGATTTTTTTCTTCCTTTTTAATTCCTAGGGTTATAAATGAGAATTCCCTTGACAAGTTGTTCTTTAGACCTGCAGCAAATGGGTGCTCTTCCTGGGAGTTCCCACATTCTTTTTGTGGTTCACAGAAAGATGTGGTGCTTATATGGCTTTAGAATTGGGCCTCACATATTGAGGGGACAAGACTTAGGTAAAGATGAGGGAGTTTTTCCTTCTTCAGTGAAACAGTGAGAGGTTTTACTGTGATAACTGCATGATTGTATTGATATGTCTCCCACTTCTTTCTGTCTTTTATATTACAGATAAAAACATTTATTTTAAATATTTTTGAGCTTTAAATTATTGAGAAACCAAATTACAAAAGAAATATGTTCATGGAACAGGCATAAACTTACTTTGCCCAGTCAGCCTAAAACAGCTTTTCAGAAGTCAAAATCTCACAGTTATAATTTTATTTACTGGTTTTTGTGATTCTCTTTCATTCAGAATGCTTCAAAATATTAGAAATTAGGCAAGGTAATTTGGATGAATATAGATGTATTTATCTATAGCCATTTAAAAGTATGTTTAAATTACAAGCAACTAATTGTGTTGTGAAGAATGCCATGTATATAATTGTCTACATTATAAACATCTGAATATACAAAAGTTAGGGAACTATAGGAATTTAGCAAGATATACTTTAACATTTACCTCTCTCATATCTTATTTTTCTGCTTAATCCTTCAGAATCCAAAGGCCCTGCTGTGCCTTTAAATGTAGCTGACCAAAAGCTTCTTGAAGCTAGTACACAATTTCAGAAAAAACAGGGAAAGAATACTATTGACGTCTGGTGGCTTTTTGATGATGGAGGTAAGGTTGCTAACCTATTTTTTTTTTAACAAGTTTAAATTTTTTGAGGTTGTGGGGTTGGTATTAGGAAACAGCATGTACTCTTTACTCACTGACCCATTCCCATTAGGCCAGCATTCCCCAAAGCATTAGGATTAGTTACAGAATCAGGCGTCACACTTAGTTGTCATATCTCTTCAGTATCCTTTGGTTTGAAAGTTGCTCAGCCCTTCCTTGAGCTTCGTGACTTTAAAATTTTTAAAAAAACATTAGACCATTTTGAAGAATGTCACTCGATTTGAAGTGCTGTTTAATGATTCATAATAATTAGTTTCAAGTTATGTATTTTGGGTAGAAATATCACAAGAGTGATGCTATGCCTTCTGTCTGCATCTCATCAGGTGGCTAATGATGTTGATTTGTCTCATCACTGGTGAAAGTAGCTTTGACCTTTGAGTAAGGTGGCTTTCACTATGTTTATATACTGAAAAGCTATTATTGCCGCCTTTTATAATTACAGGTATTTGGGGCATGGGCAGTTTCTTTGAAACCATGTAAATATTCTATTGTTGCTGTGATTTTTGCCACCATCTTGAGCATCCATTGATATTTCCACCTGAATTTATTCTTGCTGTTGTTGTTGTGTGTATGTGGTTTCCAAATGATTTTTCCAATCCCGTCATTTCTTCCTTGTTTATTAGTTTTATCTGGTGTTTAACTGTAAAGAAGAGCTTTCTCTTCACTTCTATCTGTGTGGACTTAACAGTCTCCAATTTTATTCAGTGGGTTAGCATTTTTCATTTTTATAACTTATTTTGATGTCCCAGATTTGAGCAGCAGTATCCTCTTTAGGCTAATTTCTGTGTCCATTTGTTATGTCCCGATCATTCTTTATTTTATGATAAAATATGATGTTCCAGGCTCAATTTTGTACTTTACCTGCACCAGCACTTGAATGACCCTTTATCCAAAGAGCCTTGATTCCTTTCAGTGAAGAATGGTATTTAGAAACATAGGTCAGAACATTAGACATGCCCGTTTCTACTACAGTGTCACTGCTCCATGCCCTCTCAGTGAACAGATGTAGGAAACACACACACCACTTACTTGTACATACATGTGTAGATTGAAACCACTTCCATTGCCAGCACTGCAGGGTTTGCTCCAGCTTCTCCCTTTGAGAAACATGTTGAGAAACATGACTCCCATTAGCTTCAGTGAATATTCTTTTTCTCAGTCCTGATATAACAAATCTCCCTACCCTGCAAGGCCAGTACCTCATTTTTTGCTTTCATGACATGGGCCCTGTCTTCACTGGACTTCCCTCCTTATTAAGGTCTGCCAAGTGGATTTTTGACTGAATCATTACAGGCAGGACAGAAAGAAAATGTTTGTTGTATACTGAGGTGTGGTAAAGGAGTTTTTAGCAGCTAACTTGAATTAAAACTTTTTAATTGAGAAATCAATGTTAAATATAAATGATCTGTTCTATTTTTATGACTCAGGTTTGACTTTACTGATTCCTTATCTTCTGACTACCAAGAAAAAGTGGAAAGACTGTAAGATCAGAGTATTCATTGGTGGAAAGATAAATAGAATAGACCATGACCGAAGAGCGTAAGTCTGTTTCAAACTGACGAGCTTCTATCTAGTGGTTTTCATTATTTCAGTATCGGTTTGGTAGGGTAACAATTAGACAGTACAGAAAATGTCAGTAATGTTGCTCTGTTTTGTAGTGAAGTTGAAGAGTCTAAAGTAAAACTTCATTCTCTTTAATTTAGCCTTAATGTTCAAGTTTAGATTCTTGGTTTTACTCACATGTAATATTTTTAATATGTTGACATTTTAGAACATTTTTAAATACTTGTAGCATAGAAGCATTAATCAGCCTTTTATGAAAAAAAATTAGGGTAAAAAGTGCACAAAAGTTACATATTCATATATGTATTATACTTTTCAGACTTCTAGACAACAGAAATGCATGATGGCATTGTCCATTCTCTCATTTCTGTTTGTCCTGTCACACAATTCTAGTACTGGTTTCAGTGCTTCTCTAAGTACCCTCTGTCTCATTTCTGACCATTTTGTAATATATTGTACATACTGCTCCCAGTTTCACGTTTGGAAAGAAAAGCTTTGATCATGTGATGCCTCTGCCCCAAGGATTTTTAACTTCTTCTCTGTTACATACCATAGAAAGCCTGTGTGACAGTCAGGGCTCTTTATAGTCTGTCTTGTTTCCTCTCTATCTTTATCTCCTGTTCCCCCAAATATGCCTTATACTTCAGTCTAATTTCTGCACCCACCCCAAACATACATACGATTTCAGACTTTTACTTCTTTGCCTTCTCTCATCTCTATACTACAAACAGTTCTTCACTAGCCTCCCTTCTCTATTAAAATAACTCCATTCTTTAAAAGCTAGTACTTCACTCTGTATAATGGGCTCCAGTTTCATCCATTTCATTAGAACTGATTCAAATGAATTCTTTTTAACGGCTGAGTAATATTCCATGGTGTATATGTACCACAGCTTCCTTATCCATTCGTCTGCTGATGGGCATCTAGGTTGCTTCCATGTCCTGGCTATTATGAACAGTGCTGCGATCAACATTGGGGTGCACGTGTCTCTTTCAGGTCTGGTTTCCTCAGTGTGTATGCCCAGAAGTGGGATTGCTGGGTCATATGCCAGTTCTATTTCCAGTTTTTTAAGAAATCTCCACACTGTTCTCCATAGTGGCTGTACTAGTTTGTATTCCCACCAACAGTGTAAGAGGGTTCCCTTTTCTCCACACCCTGTCCAGCATTTATTGCTTGTAGACTTTTGGATAGCAGCCATCCTGACTGGCGTGTAATGGTACCTCATTGTGGTTTTGATTTGCATTTCTCTGATAATGAATGATGTTGAGCATCTTTTCATGTGTTTGTTAGCCAGAAAGATAAAGAACATTACAGCATACTAACACATATATATGGAATTTAGAAAGATGGTAATGATAACCCTATATGCAAAACAGAAAAAGAGACACAGATGTACAGAACAGACTTTTGGACTCTGTGGGAGAAGGCGAGGGTGGGATGTTTAGAAAGAACAGCATGTATATTATCTATAGTGAAACAGATCACCAGCCCAGGTGGGATGCATGAGACAAGTGCTCGGGCCTGATGCACTGGAAAGACCCAGAGGAATCGGGTGGAGAGGGAGGTGGGAGGGGGGATCGGGATGGGGAATACATGTAACTCCATGGCTGATTCATGTCAATGTATGACAAAACCCACTGAAATGTTGTGAAGTAATTAGCCTCCAACTAATAAAAATAAATGAAAAAAAAAAAAAGAAAAACAACAGAAGTAAAGAGGAGGATTTTTTTTAAAGATAATGAAATTAATGAAAGAACAGTTTTCACACCGTTCTAAAAATAGTATCAGAAATAAACATTAATAGTGACAAATAGAAGAGACTGTAAGTTGTGACTACATATGAGCGTCGGAATATTATTCTTACTAAAGTCATTTACATCTGAAAAGACATCTTTGTACAATCTTAAAAAGCCTCCAGTTTCTTACTCCCCACAGCACACACTGCAGGCTGCCTCATTTCTCCTGGAGTCCAGAGGGAAGGCATTAAGCCTGAGCACTGCTCCTGATACAACCACAGCTGATGGTTTCATCTGATCACCAGGTGGAAAACTACTAGGTGGGGATGAGCTCAGAAGCTACCAAGGGGAATGTTGTTTCAGCTGTCCTGAATTCTAGTGATCTACTCTGCTAGTGGAAAGAGGATTACACATCATTTCGAAACCATGAAGATAACCCTCCCTAAACTCAGCAAAGTAGCTGAGATATTTATTTACTAGTCCTAGCTCTACTATTAAGAGGAGTGGGACTCCTTTGGCCATCATATGACCTTTCTGGATCTTAAAGAGTTTCCCATTTGAATCAAATAATCTGAATCTAGTGATTGTTTATATCACACTTCCTTTTCAGAATCTAGTATAGAGTTCTTCTCTCTGAAAATAAGAACTACTTTTAATAGAACTGGCATATGACCCAGCAATCCCACTTCTGGGCATACACACTGAGGAAACCAGATCTGAAAGAGGCACGTGCACCCCAGTGTTCATCGCAGCACTGTTTATGCCAGGACATGGAAGCAACCTAGATGCCCATCAGCAGATGAATGGCTAAGGAAGCTGTGGTACATATATACCATGGAATATTACTCAGCCATTAAAAAGAATTCATTTGAATCAGTTCTAATGAGATGTATGAAACTGGAGCCCATTATACAGAGTGAAGTAAGCCAGAAAGATAAAGACCAATACAGTATACTAATGCATATATATGGAATTTAGAAAGATGGTAATGATAACCCTATATGCAAAACAGGAAAAGAGACACAGATGTACAGAACAGACTTCTGGACTCTGTGGGAGAAGGCGAGGGTGGGATGTTTAGAAAGAACAGCATGTATATTATCTATAGTGAAACAGATCACCAGCCCAGGTGGGATGCATGAGACAAGTGCTCGGACCTGGTGCGCTGGGAAGACCCAGAGGGATCGGGTGGAGAGGGAGGTGGGAGGGGGGATCGGGATGGGGAATACATGTAAATCCATGGCTGATTAATGTCAATGTATGACAAAAACCACTACAATATTGTAAAGTAATTAGCCTCCAACTAATAAAAATAAATGTAAAATAAATAATTAAATAAGGCACAAGAAAAAAAAACTAAAAATAAAATAAAAGCTAGTACTTATTGTCACCTTCCTCATAAGCCTTCCCTGTTTCTTTCTAGTTGTTACAAATAACTGTTTATCAGTTTTTATTGAAATCCATGTACTTACTAATACAAATTAATTAAAATTAAAAACTAGGTGCCCTTCAAATTTAATTATTGTCTTCCTCTGTCCATTGGATACTAAGGAAAAATTCAGAGAACGTAAAAGAATACAACACAAGTTTCTACTCAGAGAATTTAGATGTCTACTTTGTGAATGAGTAGTATAAATTAAGTCAGATTGATTTTGCTCAGCACCTGATATACTTCTCCTGTAAATCATTCTTTTCCTATAAATCACATGGAGTCAGCCCTAAATAGAATAAAACTATTTCCGTACGCAGCCGTCACGTGTCTCAGTGCTGTTCACTTTTGTTCTAGGATGGCAACTTTGCTCAGCAAGTTCCGGATAGACTTCTCTGATATCATGGTCTTAGGAGATATCAATACGAAACCAAAGAAAGAAAAGTAAGTTATTAGTTAGTATTAAAAGTATATTTTAAATTATTATTAAGAGCAAGTTATTAGTTATATTAAAATATACATTATTTTGTATGAATTTCTGATTCTTTTATGGATGACCAATCAGACACTATAATAGATCATTTAACTTAATTACCTGGGGGTTTTGCCTGCTTTTAGTTACATGTGAAGTCAACATTTTTTCAAGCTAGCAGATAACTGACTGACATTGCAGATATTGAAGTAAGTCCAAAGTGTTTTCAATAATTAGAGAAAAATTCAATTACTGATTTACAAGTAATTTCTGAAAATCGTTAGTGCCACAGAAATTCTAAGTGGTTCTTTAAATTTCCATTGTTCATTATGACCACTCAATCCCTATTCCACATGTGTGTTACTTTCCACTATTTTATTACCAAAATGAGAAAAAAAATTTAAGAATCTGCCTATAGTTACTGCATTCAGAATTTATAAGAGTTAAGAAAAAGTAGATTTCATGGAGTATCCTACTGAAAATGGTATATGGAAGTTGTTTTAATTATATGTATTTATACTACTGTACATAATTTCAGTTACTCTCAGTTTTATGTTGAGTATATGATGAAGTCAGAAAAAAGAATTCATTTTAAGTAGAAAACAGTGAGGTATACTTTGTAAGGTTGTAGTCATGGAGACTGTTTTTTCTCTTATAGAATTATATATACTAGGAGCTTTGTATGAGACTGATATTGAAAAATACAATTTTCACATTCATAGGGGGTTAGAATGCTATTCATGTTCTTTTACCATCTTTTGTCCTATTAAGTATCTTTGGATCTAGAGCTTAATTCTGCATCTTCTTAAATGTTTAATATCTGTCTTTTCCTCCCTTCAAAATGTCCTAGTACCTTTTCTTACACTGCTTTTATTCAGTGATACTGGAACTGGGAAAGTGATTGAGTGTTTTGAATAAGGGAGTAACACAATTTGACTTATCTTTCCTGGGTATCATTTTGGCTGTGATGAAATTTATTTAGGTTGAGGGAAGTGGGCATAGGAACAAGGACTGATACAAGGAAATCTGCATTAGCAGTTAAAATTGCAGTTCTCTTATTATGCCTATGGTTCTAAATTTCTAATCAGTTAGAGAAACTAGTGATTGCTATTTTCAAAATAAATTGCAAGAGTTAGGATAAGGAAGGGAGCACAACAACTGGAAAACACTAACTTCTGAAGTTTATAATTACATTAACTTTTCAAGTTATAATTTAATGTTTAAGATCTTACTATTAAGTAATTCAACATAGGTTAACTGTCTGTATTCTTTTTTTTTTTAAGTATTGTAGCTTTTGATGAAATGATTGAGCCATACAGACTTCATGAAGATGATAAAGAACAAGATATTGCAGATAAAATGAAAGAAGATGAACCATGGCGAATAACAGATAATGAGCTTGAACTTTATAAGACCAAGGTATTCTCTCTCTCCTGCTTCCTTTTCATTAATATTCCTTGTGGATTTTTTAGAAAATACTTAAGAAATAAATATCTAGAACTACAGTTGGTTATGAAAAGAACTAGTTGTGTAAACGAAATCTACTTTAAGTTGTACTTATATTTGGATAGTGCAAAGCACTGAATTTTCTTTTTTTTTAAGTTTGGGAATGGATATTTTTATTATACCAAAATTGATTTTGTTTTTTTTTTAAATCTATAGTTTTATGTACCAGGGAAAATTCCACTTTTCGAAAGGACTAAGAATGACTGTTATGTTTCATTTCAGACATACCGGCAGATCAGGTTAAATGAATTATTAAAGGAACATTCAAACACAGCTAATATCATTGTCATGTAAGTAATACCTATACTAAGATTTTCTTGGGTGTCCATTTTATGATAATTAGGATTCATTTCTTCTACCAAAAATATATCTATAACCATAATAAATTAGTTGTTATGAGAGAAAAACAAACTTTTTTAATACACTTTGCTTTAAGCATATGAAGAAATCATTTAAGATAGGAAAGATAAACAAAAATATTAACCTTAAGTTTGTATAAATCTAAATAATTCCTTATCATAATAGCTTATTCTGGAATTTTTTTCCTTTATGCTTTTTCCCACTTTTAAAAAATTCCTTAGCTTTGGAAATACCACAGCATAACCATCAACATTTGTCGGGTAACAAGGCTGCAAGTTAAAATTTGGTTGCTAGACAATTCTTCATAGAAATAACTCCATCAAGTTAGGTTGAGGATTAAATTTAAAACATGGTTCCTATCTGAATTCCCACTCCCAAATTCCCACATACAAAATGTCATATAGACACAATGTCTTTTCACTGAATATAGATACTTATGCTCGCTCTGGATTTTCCTTCACTAAACCAGGTTACCTAGATCTTTATTGAACCCAAATTTTCTAAGTCCTGGAGCCTGGTCCTTATATAGGTAAACAATGCTCAGATCTCTGGAAGCATATCAAATTATGAAACTAAGTAATACCAAAAGATTGCTATTTTGACTAACAACAAATATTTAATACACCAGGAAATTTCAAGTTTTGTTGATGGTTACGAAGTATCTGTAATGGAAGTCACTAAAACATAGGTAGTTACCACTATCAAAATTCAGATAGAAATATCCCTTTCTCCTAAAACAATTTTAAGGAGAGATTTGAAGTTTAATTTTAGATACTAACTCAGCAGTGGCCACCGGACTGGAAAAAGTCAGTTTTCATTCCAGTCCCAAAGAAAGGCAGTGCCAAAGAATGTTCAAACTACCACACAATTGCACTCATTTCACATACTAGCAAAGTAATGCTCAAAATTCTCCAAGCTAGGCTTCAACAGTATGTGAACCAAGAACTTCCAGGTGTTCAGGCTGGATTTAGAAAAGGCAGAGGAACCAGAGATCAAATTGCCAACATCCATTGGATCATAAAAAAGGCAAGAAAATTCCAGAGAAACATCTGCTTTATGGACTATGCTAAAGCATTTGACTGTGTGGATCACAACAAACTGAGGAAAGTTCTTCAAGAGATGGGAATACCAGACCACCTTACCTACCTCCTGAGAAACCTGTATGCAGGTTGAGTATCAACAGTTAGAACCAGACATGGAACAATGGACTGGTTCCAGATTGGGAAAGGAGTGCATCAAGGCTGTATATTGTCACCCTGCTTTTTTAACTTATATACAGAGTACATCATGTGAAATGCCAGGCTGGCTGAAGCACAAGCTGGAATCAAGACTGCTGGGAGAAATATCAGTAACTTCAGATATGCAGATGACACCACCCTTATGGCAGAAAGCGAAGAACTAAAGAGCCTCTTGAAGGTGAAAGAGGAGAGTGGAAAAGCTGGCTTAAAATGCAACATTTGGAAAACTAAGATCATGCCATCCAGTCTCATCACTTCATGACGAATAGATGGGGAAACAATGGTAACCCTGACAGATTTCATTTTCTTGGGCTCCAAAATTACTGTAGATGGTGATTGCATCCATGAAGTTAAAAGACCCTTGCTCTTTGGAAGAAAAGCTATGACTAACCTACACAACATATTAAAAAGCAGAGACATTACTTTGCCAACAAAGGTCCGTATAGTCAAAGCTATGGTTTTTCCAGTAGTTATGTATGGATGTGAGAGTTGGACCATAAGGAAGGCTAAGCACCGAAGAATTGATGCTTTTGAACTGTGGTGTTGGAGAAGACTCTTGAGAGTCCTTTGGACTACAAGGAGATCAAATCAGTCAATCCTAAAGGAAATCAATCTGAAATATTCATTGGAAGGCCTGATGGTGAAGCTAAAACCCCAATACTTTGGCCACCTGATGCAAAGAACTGACTCATTAGAAAAGACCCTGGTACTGGGAAAGATTGAAGGAGGGAGGAGAAGGGGATGACAAAGGATGAGATGGTTGGATGGCATCCCCGACTCAACGGATACTGGTTTGAGCAAGCTGTGGGAGTTGGTGAAGGACAGGGAAGCAGTACATGGGGTCACAAAGAGTCGGACACGATTGAGCAACTGAACAACAAAAATTTGCTATTCTTAAGATATTTTGTAAGAAATACTTTGTTCAAACTTGAAAAAAAAAGGGAATATATGGTATAGTAGTTGTTATAGCATATACTGTAACTATAGTAATTTTTAGTTACTATTACTGTGACTTACAGTTTTTATTATTTTATTCTTAGCTTAAATACATTGTTTAATTTCCTGTTTTTTTTTTGATAACCAGGAGTCTCCCAGTTGCACGAAAAGGTGCTGTGTCTAGTGCTCTCTACATGGCATGGTTAGAAGCTCTATCCAAGGACCTGCCACCAATTCTCCTAGTCCGTGGGAATCATCAGAGTGTCCTTACCTTCTATTCTTAAGTGTTTTATCTACACAGTGGACAGCCCTCCAGACGGTACTTCAGTGCCTAGTGAAGTAACTATCACTGAAATCTTCAACATCACAATGGTGAACTGTGACTTTTTTTCACTATTTCATTAATTTGAAAGCACACAGGGAAGTTGCTCCATTGATCAGTGTATGGAGACTTCAGTTTTAGTCAATTCTGTATTTCAGTCTTAGTGATTGATGATTCCTTGTTGGACTGAAGCTTGTGAGAGTAAAGTTTTTCCTTTGCTACTTGAATAGCAATAAAGGGGTGTTATTTTTTGATTGATGAAAGGAGTACAAAAAGCCTTTAGCCTTGAGGTGCCTTCTGAAATTAACCAAATTTCATCCATATATCCTCTTTTATAAATTTATAGAATGTCAAACTTTGCCTTCAGCTATTTTTATTTCTAATCTTTCCCACCTTAAAATGGACACCACTTTTCTTTTTCCATTGACCAATTAGTGTTGAGTACTGTATGTTTTCTATTACTTTTGTAAATGTGTTTGTTAGATATTAAAGGTGAGAATTAGGGCAAGTTAATGAAAGTCAAGGAAAAAAATGAGAACCAAAAAGTGACCCCAAGGTTAGGTTTGCATTAGGATGTATAATTGTAGATCTAGAAAAAAAGGCCCAATAAACCTTTTTTTTTTAAACCTCTAATTGGCTGTTATTTATATCTTTTTTGATTATTATTTCTTGAAACTTTAGGGGAGGTTGAAGATTTACTGAGTACTTCTATATACCATCCTGAAAAATCACGTATTGTCATTCTTTAAACAAAATCTTTAAGATCATTTGTATTTATTAGAAGAAAGATCTGTCCTAATTTAGAGTTTTCCTCAAATCTGAGGGACTTTAACAAAATGCTAAAAGATTTTTCCGGTTAAAATTAGACAAAGCATTGTCATTTAATAGAATATTTCAGTAAATATATGGAATATCACTATATCATCCTTTTTATAAATCATTAAAATATTTAATGTTTCATCAAATGGTTAAATGGACCACTGGTTTCTTAGTGAAATGTTTTTAGGCTTAATTCATTCAACTGTCAAGTACATAGTCTTAATTAATATACTCAGGTTTGAACAGATTATTCTGGACATTTAAATTTAATCCATTCTTAATACTTTAAAACTTTTGTGTTAAGAAAAACTGCCAGTTTGTGCTTTTGAAAAGTCTGTTTTGACATCATAGTCTACTAGTACAATTTTGACAGTGCATATGTACTGTTACTAAAAGCTTTATATGCAATTATTAATGTGAAGTTTTTTTGTTTTTTATTCAAGGAAGGATTTCCTAGAAACATTTCAAGGGATTATATGTCTACATATCTGTATGTGTGTGTGTGTATATGTATATGCATACACATATGCATATGTGTATTTATAATGACATGATGGTTTTTTGCATTTTAAAGTGATTAAGATTTATCATATTAAATTTTTTGTTTCAGTTATGAGTTCAGAGATTGAAAGACAGGTTTCATGGAGAACAAATGTGATTACTGGAAGGGCATGTAACTTCACACAGTTATCATTCCGTTAGGAAATGGAGAATGTTTCATCTAAAGTACTGTTCAATGTGTTCACTGGTGTAAGTTTCACTGGTGAAGAATTTATGTAGGTGTTCATGAATCTCGATAAAAATCTATTAAATTACTACTGTTGTTCAGTAGTACAATATCTTTGCTGCATGAGTATGAACTAAGTTAATATCATAACAGATCTGATAGTAATTTTAAATTCAGAATGTTAAGAGAATGAGGTAATTGTTTTCCTAAAAACTTTTTCCTATGTTATAACTCACACCATCTTACCATTTTTTGGAGGTTTTGTAGTGTTTAAGAGGAAAGACAATAGAAATGTCATATTCAGTAAACAATATCATGTCTCAACTTTTTAAATGGATAATAGGGCATAACTGAGTGCTGCTATCTTGAAATGTGCACAGGTACACTTACTTTTTCTTTAAGTTTTTCCCATTCAGGAAAACCTCGTTGTGATCTGTACTGCAGGAACCAAATGTCATGCATCATACTTATGTGTATAAAGTACATAAAATATATCTAAATATACATAATGGGGGAGGGTAATATTGTCTGTGAAATAATGTAAGAAGCTTTCCACTTAAAAATAAATGCATTACTTTTACTTAACACTAGATACCAGGTCAAATTTTTCAAGGTTGTTTTTGTGCTCTGATAAATTTCAACAATTAATTCTTAGAAATGTTAGCTAGTGTTGAAGCTATTCTACTCTATTTTATTTATGCTGAATTTGATTATTTTAATGCCAAAAATTTTAAGTTCTAATCATTGGTGATAACTTGGAAATAAACAGTTATGCAATGGCATATGACCGCTCATTATTTCTCTAGGTAAAAATTCAGTGGGTTTAGAGAATGGTGGTGTTAAGCTGATTATTAACAGTTAATTAAATCACATATTTATTTGTCACATTATTTCATTTGTATTTTAGGTTTCCTTTTACATTCTTTTTTTATGCTTTTCTGACATTACGTATTTTTAAAGACTATGGAAAAATAATTTAAAGATTTGAGCTCTGGTGGATGTTTACTAAGTTTGAAAATGTAATATTTTGATAATACTGTACTATAACTGTCACACAAATGCTTTTCTAATGTTTTAACGTTGAGTATTGCAGTCGCTGCTTTGTACAGAGGTTACTGCAATAAAGGAAGTGGATTCATTAAAACAATTTAATGTCTATTCATTTTACCCATTTTATAAATCTGTGTAAACTTTGTGATTTTTACCTCATTTATACAACTTATTTCATGGATGTCTTGAGTTTTTTTAAATGGCTTTTATGCTACTATTCATGGTTTGGAAAAGTTGTTTCAAGTTGTTCACTATCCTTAAACCTTTGGAGTAATCACTAATTTTCTTGACAGATTGAGCTTATTCAGACACAACTCATTTTGATATTTTGTAAATCATTTAACTTTTCTAATTCTGCTTTATTTGACTTTTGGTTAAATCATGTGTTTATGAGTGAAGAAAGTAGAATATTAAAATGGATTCACAGTCTCTTGAGTATAACCTGATTCATTTCTTGCTAAGATTTTTGGCAAAGCTAATTTACAGTTTTACAAAACATTTTCACTTTACTATTTGAACATTACAGTAGGTGTATTATATGTGCAGGACAGCAGTTTCTCTCTCTTCTACTCTTGAGAAAGTAGCTTGGAGAATTGTAGCGAGTGTCCCAAGATCATGTGATAAATCACCAAAGGATGCTGGTCTAGGGCACAGATCTTTCATCTTCATGCATATCACCATTTTGCAGTCACTGCTGCCTGATCAATAACTTAATTACTGGTTTAGAATGGTCATTTCCAAACTACTCATACTTACCTGCCCAGGATGTTTGTGCTCAGGTAATACAAATTACAGTTACAAGTGTATATGGCCACAGCTACCTAATAGATCTGAAACAAATGTAAGTGTCCATTATATGATCTTTGCTTTTTGCTTATTCTTCAATAAGCTGCTATTCAGGTTTACTCACTTCTTTGTGGAATAGGAGGGAGGGTTAAGAGAGAACTGAAAGGCAGCTATGATTGTGGCATTTACTATCAGAGCATCCAGTGGTTTTCAAAACAGGAATGTAACTAAGTCTTTGAGCCAGCAGAATTTTTTGTTTTGTTTTTATTTGGGGAATAAAAGATAAATGCTTTGATATGCTTCTGTCTTTGTTTATGTATCAACAGGATGTTTATAGGATTAGAGGAAACAGATGATAACTATTTGGGTAAACAAGTAGTTAAAACATCAAAATAATGGTTAAAACAGCAAAAGTCTTAGGATATACTTATCAGAAAGTACTGTTTAGCTAGTTCAGAAAGTAGGTACATAAAAGGTGTTGGTGGATTAACCAATCAGACATACTTTTGCTTCCCTGGTGGCTCAGAGGTTAAAGCATCTGCCCTCAATGCAGGAGACCCGGGTTCGATCCCTGGGTCGGGAAGATCCCCTGGAGAAGGAAATGGCAACCCACTCCAGTATTCTTGCCTGGAGAATCCCATGGACAGAGGAGCCTAGTGGGCTACAGTCCACGAGATCGCAGAGTCAAGACACGACTGAGTGACTTCACTTTCACTTTCACTGAAATACCTGAAGAGCTCAATCTCATTGCTCTTTAGAGAACTGGAAGCAGTGGTCATAGACCTATTTTACTTGTGGCATAGGAGTTTCAGGTAGGCTGTTAAATGGACTTCAGCCCATTTTTTTTCCTGTTGAAACTACCACTGAATTTTGTGTTGGACAAGGTTACTACTATTTCAGAGGAAAATGTGAATGTGTCTGAATTTGTCTCCTCCTGCAGCCTTACTTGTGGCTGTTGTCCTCAGATCAGGAGCTCATTCCCACAAATAATAGTTTACACATATTCTCTGTTCCTCTTTTCTATCATATGAATGCCAGTTAGCAAGATATTCCATCCAAAACTACAAATGAAAAAGAAATTTACTTTTCTGATCCACGTGAAATGCAAAAACAGACACCTCAGACTCAGTACTTGTCAGAATTTCATTAGAATACTGCTGAATAAGCTTTGAAGGTAAAGAACTGTGGAGAGTTTATTCTAGAAATGTTAATTGGGTTTCTAGATAATTTCATATCCAGTTTATATCTAAGAACAAACTAAGGCAGCGTGTTTTGACTTATATATAGTACACATAAGGCATATAACAACTACTGCTATAAGGTATGTTTGCTCTTTTACATTCTAAATAAAATTAAGTCCCAAGTAAGCCATTTTTAAAGGAGATTATCACAGTTTGAAAAGGAGCAAGTTTTAGGAGTTTGTCTGTATGACCAATATAACACAGGTTACTTTTATTTCAAGCACACATTTTTGCTTAAGCCATGAAAACTCCTTTGAGTTTCCTAGGAGTGTTACTAGTTAAGATGTTTAAAAGATGGCAAGGACTATTTGGGAACTGGGGTGGAGAGTGGTAGGATGG